TATATATATATATATATATATATATATATATATATATATATATATATTGTAATTATATCGATCTATATTTTAGCAAATAAATCATTGTGTCGAGAACGCAAAATACCGAAACGCAAAGAGGCGCGCGCAAAATCGAGGGGTAGATCAGTGCCTCGAGCTCCAAGTTCGCAGCTGTTGCAACGAACGATGCAAGCGCGACAGCATCCGACCGAGGAGATCGAGAACGACAGGCAGCAATGTGACGAGGATCACGGATCCATGGAATGCAACGTGGCGCATCAAGAAGTACACAAAGACGTTGAAAGAGTTCGCGAGCCGAACGACAGCAACAGCGGGAGCACCCTGGAAAACTCGAGAGACTGATCACATTCTTTTATTTGTATTATCCCACTCTGCATTTGTCAATGTACAATCTTCTACTTTTTGGTGGTTATATATTTGTCTATTTTTTGTTTTCTACTTTTTTCTGTACCAAAATGTCTACTGTTTCGAGAGATAAATTTGTAAACGTTTTATAAGGTCCGGGTAACTTATAAAATAAATATGCATGTGTGATGGATGATGTTGTGTATTTTATACAGACTATCCCATTTTTATTAGATATGTTATTTTCTTGAAAGAGCATTTAAACGCGATGACGTTTACTTTCAACATTTGCAAGCTGCAATATTATTACTTCATATATAGGTACTTGAACATTATAGCTTTACTCAGAGCATTTTTTGGCAAAGAAATTAATTTACTAAAAAATATTTTTCAAGAAACATTTATTTTACAAGAAAAAATGATTGACAAATTTATCAAATCGGCCACAGAAATCTACAAATCGTTTGTGATAAACAAATAAATAAATGCAACATTTCAGAAAGTTTTTATGGTACAAATGCGCTTCTTCTCATGATTTGCTGTCCAAGACGCATTGGCATCGGTATGATTTATGAAGTTCTCCAACACGAAATATAGTATGTATGTATAGACAAACTGTCTCCGTGTATTCTGAAGCGAAGCTCGTTTGTGATGCCTCTTCGGCATATCATCGGCGCTTTCGTTCTCGTCATTGGCGTTGGGAGCCGATAAATGTATGACGGGCAAATACCAGGAAGTACTCCAGGAACAAAGTGCGGAAGTTTTTGTTGAGGCGGGATACTATCGGGAGCGTCACTTTTTACGGGATTTTTCTCACCACGTTTGAGCGAAGCCTCGAACCGGCGCGGGCGCGGGCGCGCGGCGCATTTTTCAACGTGACTAAAGCTTTCTGATGTTTATCGGTTTAGCCAATGGCGTTTTATCTTTGCTAGCAAAGTTTTCCGCGGCGGGCACGACAGTTTGCTTCCCATATTCGTTTGACTCTCTGTACGGGACGTTGTCTAAGTTTGCTCGAATCGGATTTTTATTTGCCTGCAAAGTTTTCTAGAAAGCATTACTTTACTTTACCAGCATATTTATTTTTCGATTGTACACCGAGTAATATCAAAACAAGCCATTGTTTGATTTGACGCATTTGTATGCAACGTGTAGTTGTACAGTTAACAATTATACATATACTGAACTATTATATGTGTATAGAAAAAAATTAAGTACAAATTATATTATATTTTTACAGAAAGAAATTAATTTATAAAAATTGTAGTACAAGCAATCGTTCCAATTTTAGATTTACAAATTTGCCAAATGCATGTATCATATGTACTCTTTTATATCAAATATGATTCTTGATATGTATTTACATCTCATGTCATTTTTCAATCATTTTTTGAGACTTCTGCCTTATGAATATTTCAGATATAAAGGATTTTGATTTTTTTCTATATTAAACACTCCTAGTTCACATTCTACCTCGCTTATCAAATAAATTTCATTAAAATACGCTTCAACGTGTCGAGTTCACAAATGCGCACGCTTCCGTTATTTGCTTGAGTGACGGCTAAAAGTGAAATGAGTGGATTATAGCGTAATGAATAATTAATAGGAGAGGATAATATGTAATGAAGATATACGTCTATATTAGAAAGACAGAATATTATATTATAAATGAAAATCATTTCTATGAAATTTCAACAATATTTTTGGATATTTATTGTTGATCTGTACAATTTTTTCACACAACAGATAAATTAAAGAACGTTCTCGAAATCTTCTGATGAGAAAGGTCCGCAAAGTTAATCTCAAAATCTATTGCACACTTATTGACGAGGTAACTTGCGTAGAATATTATATATTATATAAATTGTTATTGTAAATGACATTTTTATTAATTTTTTATTACAAAACAATATAAACTGTAATAATTTTAAACACTCTTTATTTTATTCAATTAAAACAAATTATTTATTAAATAAGATTGGAATTTTTAATAATGCTTTAGTAATAACAGCTTGTGATCAAAAAGTTGTAGAATATAAAAATTTATTTTTTTTAACAGCATAGACATTATATATATATATATATATATATATATATATATATATATATATATATATATATGTAGTTACATTCACGAAATTGATCAATGTTTTAAAGGCTTTATTAAATTCTTAATATGTATAATTAAAAAAAAAAACAAAATTAAAGGAGAGAGAGAGAGAGAGAAGGAGAGAGAACATGTTTGTAAATTTTGAAATAATGTTTTGAAATGTTTAAAATACTTGATAAATTTTGCAGTTATTGTAAATATTCAGTTGAACAGATATCTTCAACGTTTTCAGATAAAACTGCACAAATTAAAACGTAGATATTACTTTAGTATACTTAGAATACATCGAAATTCTATTAAGATTTAGATAAGTTAATCTCAAATCTTTAAACAACTTACCAAACGCACGTGTTTGAGACGTTGGCATTTTGAAAATTTTGCAACATGAGGTCACGATGATAGCGAAAGTGCCCTCGACATTCTCGTAACTACTCACAAATGCGTTAGATAAAATTATTTCTAGATAATATTTTTATCTTGATTCTCATCACACAAGGATATGATAAAAGGTTCCGACGCATGGATCTTGATCGCCTAGGGTACCTAAAGATCGCGAGAAGCACGTGGCGAAGCCACAACGCGCACTGACTGCTCCAAACGGGACAGCTGACGAAGGGTAGAAACGCCGCGCTTTCCGCCCTCCACTGTCAATCCCCACCAGCTTGCGCCCCTTTCTCTATCTTCATGTTTTCGATCGTTATATTTTACAACTTAATAAATGGTAGTGGATAAAGTATTTATATTAAAATACTGATATATACGGAGGAAAATCCTAATATATAATATTATAAATTGATTACGCTTGCTGTATATTTCATTCATAATAAATTAAATTTTATGTGTATGTATAATTTATTCTATAAAAATTAAATTTTTAAGACGTCGTTTTCGGTTGATCTGAAATTAATTATTGTATTTCTTTCAACTGTAAAGAAATGCAGTAAAAATGTTGAATGATATATGATCTCTGATATGACTCTGCTACAGAATTCTCTCTTAAGTAATCAATCAATTGTAAGCACTTGACCACATTTTTGCGGACGAGTGCAGAATGACAGAACTCATTTTACGACATCACATTTCATCGCGACACAGAACTTTGCTTTCGTTCTCAAGAATGCATTAAGGGGCTCGCACGATTCTCCATTCTTTCAGAGTTTTTGAATTTCATATAAATCTCCTTATCCGATAGCGGTATCTTTAATATGTGCGTGCCGAGTTTATTATAGCTTACTTTATTTACCACATACAAATTACAATTATATATGACGCATGAACGATGATTTAAAATTGTTTAATTTCTTTACAGTTAACTTTGAAATTAATTCTAATATACAAAGAAATATAAAAAAAGAAAAAATTGATTTTGACGTAATCTAAATTTAAGAGTGTGCATTAAAAGAAACCTCACTTGAAGATTTTAGCTAACTGTGTAATAGTTTTATTTGGCACGGATGTTTTACGAAGTCAATAACAAGAACAGCGAACGAAAATGGATTATCCAAGATTAATGGCCTTTTTCCTATATAGGAAAGACAGGGGTATCCTGTCTGTGAGCCACATTCAAGAAAACATACCTTGATGGTACATAAGTTTGAATGCGAATAAATTCGTATGGAAAATGAACTACGTCCCCGGGTTGTCGGAAACGCATCGAACATTACGGTTACTCGTTGTCTGCCGGAAATATCAACGATGCCGTTTTCTACCATCGATTAGGTTGACGCGTATCAATGATCAGAATTACGAATCTAATATATTCTTCGTTGCCATAAATTTAATTCCTAGCAGCACGAAAACCACATCGAATGCACCACGATCGTAGGTGCTTCTTTATATTTTATGTCAAAGTAAAATTTATTTTGTATTAGTTTAGAATAGATTTATAAATAAGTATATAGAATTAATGTGTGCTAATAAATAATGCTTTCAATTTCCAATTAAAGATTAAAATTGTCAATATTAATGATTGACGTTATATATATTTTTGAAAACAAAAAAATATATAATATAATTATAATATAATATATATTATATTATTGTGTATATTATATTATACATTTCTTATATGTGTGGCATATTTATTGTATTTTATACACACACACACACATATGCATATATATATTATATATGCTAAAATTATATGTTTATACAATTATATATATAGAAAAATATATAAATATAAATTTACACATTAATTCTTTGATTTTTATGTTTTTTTGACAATAAAGATCAGATTTTATCTGGTAAAGTTAACATAAAGTTCCTAAGACAATCGCGACAAGGTAACGAAGCGAGGGTCGAGGCCACTTTATATCAGGATTTCAACGAAAGCGCATACAATTCGTTTTCGTAGAATAACCATATGAGACCCTTTCCTGGTAAAGCTGTGCACGTCGTCCCAGTAGGATCAGAATTTTCACAACGGGATAACCTTGTGCGTAAGGATATCCTCATAGGGTGCACATATCACTTATATATTTTCCGTAATGTCGTTCCGTATCTCGAACAATTTCTTATGACAAATGGAAGATATTTCTTGAATCACGTATGTGAACGTTAAATATATCGTTTTGTGCAAAACGGATACTTTTGCTCGTAAAAGTCTACATCAGCATAGTGTTTGTTATTTTAAACTATTGCGTACCTATCTTCTATACAATTATCGCTTTTCATCTATAAGATGGATATATTTTAGATATATATATATAAAAATTCCTTTTCCCCTAATATATATAAATAGAATCCTAATTTTCTGCGACAAATTAATTATGCATATTATATGAAAATTCAGTTATATTATTATGTCTCTCATATTTGTTGGAACAATTTGGATTTTATATTGAACTTGTTGCTAACGCCGATCGCGATCCACAAGCGTTGATTATCGCGACGGTGACGACAGATTTTATAACGGCAAATTTTCGATGTGTGGAGATCGTATCGGACGCGATTTAATTGCGTGTCAATCTTTCGTGAGCGAGGGTCCTCGAACTCACGGGCTTCTCCATTGCAAAACGACGTGTTAGGCACGTATGTGCACGTTAATATTTCAATTCATCGTATTACGGAGTTACGAGTGGATCACAAACGATTAAATGTGTTCTCGATTGCGAAAGAAATGCAAAAAAGTTCTCAAAAAAATACAAACAAGACTTGATTCTTCTTCTTGTTATTCTTATACGATAACGAAATATTTGCTATACTAAAAACGCGATCGTAGTATATTAAATTCTTTATTTGAAAAATAATTTTACGACTATTAATGTTATTTTATTTTAAAAAAGAACTTTATAATTAAAAGTATAGTTTCTAAAATTCGATTATGCAGCATTTGTTATTCTTATATCTATAAGTTAAATTAGTAATAAGAGACATATGTTAATGTATAACACAAAGTAATACATAGTAAACTTTTATTATCAAAGTTGTCGAAACGTGTAAAAGACCAAGATATCCGGAGAATAATTGAAGCGATCTGTTGGCAGCATTTCCATTTGCGATCCTTGCGATTTACGATCCTTGAAGAACGAGTTCCGATCATTTCTAAACGAGAACGTCACGAAGATGTATCATGACAAATGTATCGGTCACGATATTTTCACGATCGTAGTGAATCTCATACCGGCATCTATTCAAAATCGGAAGCTCGTAAAAAATCGATGTAGACTAGCTGAGACAATCGCGAGCTTCCGTCATCGAAGATGTCTTCGATCGGACCAGATCTACTAACGGAACTCGCAATTTCCGCCAACTCCAAACAGGATGCGCGACACATCCTGACGCGTTTCCTGATACGCGAAATTTATTTCGTCTCGCTCTACTATATGTATACACTATACAGAATATTCCAAAAACCTAACTTAAATTTTAATAGCAATAGATTCTTTGAGTGCTATTTTAAATATACCCTTTTTATAATTTTTCAAACAACTGGTATCTTATTTAAAATAACGAAATAATGTGTGTGCATGTTTGCTTTAATTTGATAGATAATTCAAAATAGAATTGTGCTCACATAAATTTAATTAGATTTTACAGAATTTTAGTACAAGGTTAATTACCAAATGCTTATCTTGTGTACTTAGTTAAAGAATTTCATGTACCTCTATAATAAGTATTATTTTACATCTAGAATCTACATATATATCAATATTTATACATGTATATGTATAAATATATGAGGCATAATGTATAGAGTGTATAAGGCACATTGGAGATCTAATCATCAAGTTAGATTGTTAGATCACAGGCATCACATGCGTTTCTCATCTAATAAGAAGTATTCGCTTTTGTTTTAAAACTTGCAAATTTGCACATAAAGCGAAAAGTACGTAGATGATATCATATGTCGAACTTGGGAAAACAGACAAAACTTCTTGCACCAAGATGGCATAGTATCGCGTTTCTCAGGTTTCCTTCCGGAACTTGAGGAAATATCTCTCTCTCTTTTCACGAATCGTACCGTGTCTCGGACAACAATACCAATCTCGACCAGCAGTATGATAATATGACTTAGGGCAAAGAGGTAAGTAAAGCAGCGCATGATACGGAAAAAGACATTTTTGATTGCCAAAATATATCCGTTGTCCATTATCGTTCTCTAGTTCACTAAATATTTTATTTATCGTATATATCTGTAACTTATGTTAATCTATATAATTATTTATAATATTCTTATAAAAAATTTGTATATGATTAATCTCTCTCTTTCTCTCTCTCTCTGTCTATCTTATGGTTTAGTTGTTTAGTATATAAACGATTAGCCAAACATAATTGCATCAAAATTCGAAATTTCTTTCCAACTAACCGTCAGACGCATAACGTATACTTGATGGCAACTCAACTCGCAGCTCTCCATAATTCGCGTGTTTGTCCGTATAATCTAACTTTAATCCCAAGCGGACCACTCGTAGATCTTTAATCCCTCGTCCGTGAACAGAAATCTCTGCGCTATCGTTTCCTATCCGAATCTAATCTCTACGAAAGTCACCCATTTCTTACTCTCATTATACCACTGTAGCTCGTCGCAGTCGAATGACTCGCACTGTTTTGCTGCCATTAATTACTTTTCCTATTTTCTCTACCTATCTCACAGCCTTTATGAGCTATAAAATTACATAGAAAAATTGCATAGGAAGAGAGAGAGATGAGAGAGAGAGAGAGAGTGAGAGAGAGAGAGAGAGAGAGAGAGAGAGTGAGTTAATCATTGTTAATCATTAAAGACTCTAATAAAAAGAAATATTTGCAAAGATATTTTTTGACCTAAATAAACTTTAGATATTGTAGCATAGGTCAAAGACAGCTGTGATCGATTACATGGACTGCAGAAATTTAATTAAAACAGAATTATACGTCTCGCGCAATGATATAGTAAATTAATGATATCAACAAGCGCATTAAATAGAATGAAATACATATATATAAATGTATTCCATTTTTGCCTTCGTTTCTCATAAATGAGCATCATCATCGTGTCACGTGCGATTAAACGGACATGCAAACTCGTGCAAGTTTTTTGCGGAAATAGGTAGTACTTATACTTTTTCTTTTTTCTTTTTGTCATAAATATCCTCGCGTCGTATGTGACACCTCTCCGGAGAAAAGTTTTGTTGCGCTTTCTGCTGACTTACAAAGAGAAGTGAAAACTGCTCAACGGGAAATTTTCACGAAATGAAAAGTGTAACAAGTGTAATAACTAACAAGTGAAAACGCATTTGCAATGCTACTCTCCTATTGTTAGTAGCGATTTATTCTGACAAGTTATTCTTAAAGTTAATTACGTAGATACATAAAACGGTTTCTCATTTCTGTTCGTCCTACTTTTAATCGTAACAACATTTTACAAACCGAATATTCAAATATTATAACATAGATTTATTTCAGCTTCCATCCTCTTCGCCTCCATCATATTTATTGGAAAAAGAAATTGATACGATTGAGTGGATCGCTTCTCGGAAATCATGTCGATGCTCATATATAGGACTCAATTTATGTTTTTCCCTGCTTTTCCCACTGAGATATAAATAATATGGAGTGGGCACTGCGATGCTACGCCCGTAGACGGAAAATGAGCCTGAGACAGATATATAGATAGATATTGTGGGATCCCTCTCTTTCTCTGTTGTGCAAAACGCATACGCATGTTACCGAGAGAAAGATATAGTTGTCTTTGTCATACGAACTGCATGACAAAAACAGTGATCCCACGAATTTACCTCTCTCTCGGCTCGCGCCAGCCGAGCTAGTACCTCTATACTTATATATATCCCATCAGTGGCTTTTTATTAGATCGTACTAAAATGCGGGTCTTTCAGAGACGTGAGATTTGATTTTTCTAGTCAAATACGCAAACATACATTGCGACGCATTTTTAATCAAATTTGTAATATACTTTATGTGACATACTATTTATACTAAATTTGCTAAAGCTATCAAACTTTTTTTTTTTTTTTTTTTTTTTTAGTAATCATCAGTTTTAATTCAAGAGATAATACTGTGCAAATAGTACATTTATGTTATCAATATTCAGGATACACTTCAACGACTAATAACTGAAAATATAAAAAGTATAAAATCAATATAGGGAAAAATCCTAAGTATAGGTATTGACAAGAAAGTAACAATTCGAAATGACGAATGGTCGATTGGAGCAAACAATCAACGAGATTGATTAACGATTGATCGGTGCCAATAAAAGGTGGTGTATCATTAATTTTATCAAATCTTCTTATTCTATTATTGTGATTGTATCTTATACAATAATTAAATGTTTCTTTCTTAATTTGCTCGAACGTAATAATATATAATATAAAAATGATCTAATTCTCTTAAATGCTTCTTCTTACATTTTTTCTTTCGGTTTCTTTTGTGTTGAGAAAGAGACAGGGTCGTGGATTCTTAGAATTCGTGAGCCTAATATTTCTCACTCTTGCTACAAGACAGATGCGCCTCTGGAATATAAGCCGTAGGCGAAACGTGCGGATAAGAGTAGGAACTTGGCAAGTGGAGCGAAAACGAGTTAGAAGTGGAAACTCACTACGAAGGGCACTTCAGAGCAGCACCATCAGCAATTTTCAAAATCTTTTCTTCCCAACCACTATCATTGGTACTGTTCGTCGTTTTGACCGCGACCTTCCGCGCATTTGCTTCTTGATTTGGAATTTTGTCGATAACCCACATTTTGTATCGTCCCATTTTCGATCGCATGAACTCAACCTTGCTCTATAAGCTTGTCGCAGTCGTCGCTATATCGAAAGAGTTTGTGTACATGTTGGGAGAAGCTATTGATATAGGATACCGATATACGGAGGAAACGAACATTTGATTATTTGATCGGATATTCTTTTTATAGTATTCGAAATTAAAAGTTTTATCGTTCGGCGTTAACGTTCAGTGATTATTTTCCGGTGGTAATCCAGATGAAGCTTGAGATATATATAAACAATTAAAATTAAAGAATATTAGATATAGAACTATTAGACTTAATGTTTGAAAGATCTGGCTCGTTCTTCGTGTAGCGTCAGTTTTTTTTTTTTTTTTTATTAATAACTTAATTTTATTTTTAATAAAAATATCGTCGCATGTCATCATTTTCACACTTTTCGACATTTGTTGTGCTGAACTAAAGAACTGTGTGAAAGAAGTGTGTTTGATTATAACGTGTGTTATTCAAGCTTCTCTCCTCCCTCCCCCCTATAATTTTAAGTCTCATTCGCTTGTCCTCCTGTGGTTTCCTTTGGTTTCTCGTAAAATTTTTTATGAAACCAGGCATAAAATTGTCTCATATGCTGTTTTATTTTTATACGCTTATATGTACAACCGACATCTAAATCGACATCTATATGAGGCAAAAGTGAGCATTTCTACCACGCAAAACGACACGCTATACATTGATAGGAGCAGACCGTAGTTGACCAAGCTAACGAGTTTGCTAATCCTTCGGTAAAAGGATGTCTCCTCCAAGCGATCCGTATCCCATCACATTATCCCATTGATCCTGTTTAAGTTTACTGTACTGATGAAAGGAGATGGCCATACCCGGCATCAGATCAAGTTAATTACTTGATGAAACATATAATTATAGATGCGCTTTATTATTTAACGAGCTTATTACGTTACATTAAAATCATCGATTATATACAGATATGTTGTGTACTTTCTTATTATGTAGACAATGCGTTTACGCAAATATTAGTAAAAGCAATCTCACTATTTTTGCATATGTAATCTTTTATGTCGATATTGAGCTACCAAGGAGGCTATCAGTCAGCTTTCGCTGTTAGCACTGTGCGTTACAAGTTGTAAGTACCATACCTGAACACGCGAATTTTGGGCAACCTAATTCACTAACTTTAAATGTTTATAACTAAAAAAAAAACTGTTATAGCCTTGATCTTAGGAATCTGTCTTTAACAGTTGTTACAATCTTTATACATTTTGTATAAAATTTAGTGACAATATACATATAAAATTATTTTTCCAAATGGCCACACAATCTTACAATTCCGACAAATTTTCTAGATATGCCTTAATCGGCCAGTCTCCGATTGACACATTGAAATGGATGAATTTGATCGTTGATTGGTATACCGTTGCGGTAAACATTGGTGAGTTGATGAGTCATTGGTGTGGGTAAGCGTTTAGACTTTAAAGGGGACTGGAGTAATTTAGCCGGTCGACAGTTACGCGAGAGATTTTCGTCGCGATGGATCGTTGGATAGGAAAAGTCGCGATGATCACTGGGGCAAGTGCCGGAATAGGTGCACAGATTACGAGAGCACTCGCGAAGAATGGAATGAAAGTGATCGCTGTAGCGAGAAGACTGGAAAAGCTGGAGGAATTGGCGAAGAATATCAAACGTGAGTTCAAGGCCGAAGTGTATACGATGCAATGTGACGTTCGACAAGAAGAGAACATTCTCAAAGTGTTCAAATGGGCGGAGGAAAGATTAAGCGGTATTGACGTAATGATCAACAACGCTGGGGTGATCTCAAACGAAACGATTATAGGTAAATTCTGTTATTCTTTTTTTTTTTCAATGTGTGTGCGATGTAATCGCAAAAAATTTGTCAAGTAACACCGAAACCTATACAAGATGTTTTAAGTCTACTAGATATACACATGCATACCTATATCTATATATATAAGATCAAGAAGTTTTCCTTATGACATTTTTGTTATGCAAATATTTAAATTGATTTTATGTGAAAGACAAGCTATATTATTGGTTTTTGTTGAAAGAGGGATCAACGGAGACATATCGCGAGATTATGGACGTGAATGTGATTGCAGCAGCGATTTGTTCGCGGGAATTAGTGCAGTCCGTCAAAAAGCGTAAAGCGTCGGGTCATATCATTAATATTAGTAGGTAAGTATCAAATGTGAAATAAATATAAATACTGGAATTTACTTTCAATTTTGCCGTGATCATAAATAAGTATTTTATTTGTACACCGACTACTTGCAATACATAAACTTTTTGTAATTTTAATTTATTAATAAATTTTATACAAACCAAACTGATTGTGAATATACGCGCGCGCGCTTTTATTCTCTTTTTCTTTCTTTTTCTCTGCTGTCTAACAAAATCTGCAAGTCTAACATAAGATGCAAGATTTAAAATTATTAAATTAATTTACTACACATAAAAAAGTGTGTAATACTCACAAATATTAACACTTTTTGCTGGGATAAAATTATTTTATATTTCGCCAAACAAAAAGATTTAAACCGTGATATACAATATAATAAACATTGCAATACGAATTACATAGTGCATTAATGCGATTTGTTCAATCTTTCTTATATATAATTACACTTTTATTAGATTAGTTATATATGTATATTTGTAATATGGATATGTTTTTGACAATCCTCCATATAATTCTTAAATTCGCAAATAAGAGTCGAGTTTATTTTGTGGTACTGATAACCGTCATATATTTGCTTTATTCACAGTGTAGCGGGACATAATGCTCAAAAAGTTACTGCACCAGTGAGTTTGTATTGCGCCAGTAAATTTGCTATCACTGGCATGGCAGCGAGTCTATGCAACGAATTGATAAACGCAAATCTCGATGTAAAAGTCACGGTATATATACTATACTTTATACTAAACTTGTTAATGCAAAAGCAATATATTAGTGAACTGAAAAATATATAACAAAGTATAGACTTCGCTAGTAATTTAATTTGCACTTACAATGAGTTTTATATCTGTATAAGTAATAATCTATTTATCTTCAATAGTATTTTATTAATACCTCTTTTTAATGCTGTAAGACAGTTAGATTTGCAATAATAACGATAATAATAATAATAATAATAATAATAATAATAATAATAATAATAAT